CTAATCTAGTACGTCGAGCCAAGTCTGAGTATTGGCAAATAGCATTCACCTAGTATGGTCCACAAGAAGACCACACTTCCATTGAGTTTATGTTTCACTATATAAAATGTTTAATATTTACTTAATATAGTCCACAAGAGGACCACACTGCCACCGAATTTATGTTCCACTATCTAAAATGTTTACAAGCTTTATAAGGCCTTTAATGGTAATACGAAATTTATTTAGTTTTCTTAAAAGAATGATTTCTTCCAAAATAAATGGTTTAAACTTTAGAGAGCCTAAAACATTGTACACAAATATAATTTAGTTGCCGGAAGGTACTATGTTCCTCCACATCACTTATTGCTATAACCTAAAAGCAGATGTTTGAAATACAATTAGAAGTTTGAAATACAACTCAAGGAAGATACAAAGTCAATCAGTCGTCCTACCCTGATAAACTCTTTTTTTTTTTTTGGTTTGAAAAAGATTAAAAGTAAGCTATACCTATATCGCAAAATTGGAAAGGTCTATGTATACAATATTATTGCGGTAACATCATAATTCAAATTCTTTAACTGAATGTCCGAAGACTTATTTATTAACATATACTGTTAGATAAAAAAAAAGAAACAGATAGAAACTTTGATATCCTGAATTATACATAATAGAAGATTCTACTTGATCATGTATTTTTTTAAGCGTGATTTCACTTGATCATGTTATTAAAAGGGAAAGGATATACCATCGTTCTTGGTTTCTAATGATATAATTCCGTAGTTGTAATTTCTTTCTATCAATAATGATTTTAACATTGGTCAATAAAAAAAGAGGGAAAGTATAGGACAAGACGATTTGCTTTTGGTATGAGTAGATCATAGTCGCTATCGGCCGTTGGATGTCAAATCGCGCGCGTTTCACTGGGTTCAAAGTTTAAAAGAAATTTTTTTGAGATTCATGATTACTACAATCCATAAAATTTCATATTCGATAGGTAGGTTTGCTTATGGCCTGTGTACTAAAGTATGTCTCACATTATATAATCCCTACGAAAAAATGTAAGATATGGTTTACATTGAATAAACTTTGGTAAAATTTATGAATTAACAATAGAAATTACTAAAGCTTTTCATTTACTGTGGTATATATGAATGCATTACGTAATATCTTAAGCATGAAAAATAGAAATATTTAAATCATATAATTCAAAACACGTGTTCCGCACTTGTCCCTCACTAGTATTTATAGGGAGAGCAAGATAGGTCTTACTTGTTTCACCCGTATAACCAAATCTAAACAATCTAGCCTCACCTTAATTCTCAGCTACCTGAATGTTTTGTTGTAACTAAGTACTCTCTTCATCTTTGTAATGGTGCATTTGATCGAGAGAAAATAATATTTTTTTTGGAATAATATTTTTTTTGGTTTACTCTTCTCCTACATCTCCATTTTTTTTTTTTTAAAATACAAATTTTTGGAAGAATTATTTTTTGGAAATACGAATTTGTGGAAGAAAGTTTTTTCCTAAAATACATTGATTGGTATTATACTGATTTTTGATATTTTTGTTTGGAATATGTTAGTGAAAATTTGAAAGAAAGACCTTTGTGATCTTTTACTGGGGAATACAAATTTTTTTTTTTTTATCTTTTTCTTTTGGCAAAAGATCACTCACATGTAGTCTTTATTATAATAAGATAAATTTCCAAATAAAATCAACATAACAATAAAACCATGATCTTAACAACTTGATGTCATTGAAACAACTATGCACTAGGCTTGAGAATAAAATATAAGATTGCAATAAACAAAAGGGAAGAGTACCAGAGATTACATCAATCGGGCATAGTACACCTTACACCGAGTCACCACCATTCGATGGCACGGGATAAACGGTCTAGCTTCAATTTCGAATCGGGAAAGCAAATTTCGGCGAAGCCACACCAATGGAACATGAACCCTTTTGATCACAAATTCAAACCCTAAATGAATTTTATTAGCAACTTAGTTTGAGAGAGATGGATTCTTTTTTGTTAAACCTTAAAACCCTTAGTCATAAATCTATATTTGAGAGATAGGAGAGAAGAACTCTATAACCTAAACCGTTAGGTTTTTTCACAATGTGGGAGAGAGAGATCAAACAAGAGAGAAACTTTTTTAAGAGAGAGAGAAAGATAAGGTGTAGAGATTTTTTGGTCGAGACAATCCCTTTTTATAGGTTTTGAATAAGATTAGGGTTTCTTAGAGTTTTCTTTGGCTTGCCTCTTCTTGTGAGATTGAACATAGACAATCAAGGGTGACTTGTGGGGTGAGAGATCTGAACCATCCATTCTATAAATGGATCATCAACATTATGAAAGGTGCATGAACCATTATCATTCTTTCTTAAACCATTTTCTCATCAATAGAAATTAAATAAATTTAATTTAATCAAAATATTGTGCATACCATCAAATAGCACAAGTTTACTTAATCTTTTCACAAAATCTTTCAACGATATTTCAAGTCAATATTTAGTTAATATCTTCCAACCATATGGCCACATGCCATATCACCAAAAAATAGGAAAGAGAATAAAGGTGGGGTGTGCCACCTAAGGGAGGCACTCATGGGCCTCACCTTCTAAAAATATGGCGGGCCTATGTGCACAATGGGCCCTCATGATAGTTTTATATATTTAAAATTAATAAAAGGATTTAAAATATTATTTAAATATTTAAACAATTGTAAAATCAATATATTTAATTTTATATATCCAAACATTATAAATAAAATATCCAGGGGTTCATAAAAATTCAAATAATAATCTTAAAATAATTTTCATCAAAAACAAACATAATTATATTAATTTGATGTGAAAAAGATCCATATGGTTTAGAAATCAACAATCATGGGACGCTCCACCTTTAACTGTAGATTACAGACCACACTTGCTTATCAGACCGACCCAGTGTTCTCATGATCCACAGTCCAAACAGGGGCTCATTAGCGGGTTGACAATGTCCGGCCGATGAGCCAAAGGATCACAATCCCAGTATGTGGATTTCAGGTCTTCCCTTAGAGACGAGTTAAAGTCACCTAGACTTGATGGTGCATAGCGGTATCTCTTGCACATGGATATGCTTCACTCTAAAAGGTGGATTTTTGGCTTTTTTCGAACGATTTATCGATATGAATTTCGTGTGATGGCACATGGATGAGGTTTTGGCCCCCGTATCTGTAGGTTACCATCACACACATGGGTCACACAGTCCCTCGGCTCATTCATCCGGGCATATTTTCCGACCTCATCAAGGGCTAACCCATTAGAACCCTTCTCAATTTTTTCTTTATGCTCAGGTAATATGGGTTTTTTTCAGCCGTGTGGCCTAGATCGTCAAGCACAGTCCACTATATGCAAACATTGTTTTCTTAATATGGCACACGAGGAACCACACTTCCACTGAGTTCATGTTCCACTCTATCATTTCTTTTTACAAGCACTCATAAGGCCTTTTAAGCTTACATGAACCGAACAAAATTTTCAAAAAATTCATTATTGAATGAAGATTCTTGATTTCATCCTACCTTTAGTGATCTTACAAAATCGAAACTTAAAGACTTCAAAATAAATGAAGCAAATGGAAGTTTTAAAAATTTAAAAAGTGAGGATATTAAAACAAGGAAAATAATTTTTTTTTTTTTTGGAAATGGTTTTCTTAAACAAGATAAAATGCACATTTATATTGATTTCTAGACGGAATTTTTGAAAATCCTTTGAAAATTGGAAGTTTTCTATGAATTTAAAAAGCTGGAGCTTTTTTTTTTTAAATAAAAATCGTGTTTTGGCCTAGGATTAGCTAATAAAATTTGGAGAGCTAGACTGCTAGATTCCATTTCCTTCTTCAATTAGCTTGATGTATCTTGTCCAGGACATTCCAGGTCGTAAATGTTTCTCATTAATAGAAAATTCACCGGTTCGACTCGAAATTTCCCAAGTCAGAACAACGTCAATAAGTGGGCCCTTTTAAAAAGAGGAACATTGGAATAGCCCAAATTTTCCTATTTTTAAAACAATTATTAATTTTTCACTATGACCTAAAATTGACTTGGGAATCTAATAAATCAAATTTGGTGAATCTGAATTGCAACCCTGAAAATTTAGGGCCCGTTTGCTGGTTTTAGACCTGTGTCCAAAACTTCAATGAGATACTAAATAAGGGACATTTTCTCCTCATACTCCCGCCAAAAGAAAAAGAAAAAGAAAAAAACTCTTAAAATTAAAATATCTCGAAGGTTGTGATACATTTGAATTTCACAATCAATAGTTAAAAATAATTATGATCTCTTTGTGCCAAAAACATCTATATTGAGTATAATTATGTTGAGTATAATCATATCAAATACATGTGCATTCCATCGTTTTTAACCTATGCAAGCGGAACGAGGATGGATGTGCATTACAATTAGGAGGTTCATCTCTATTTTAGTTCATTTTTATTTTGGGTTGACTCATATTCTACATTGTTTGTGATTCAATAACCTACATGTTATTGAATTACACCTCGCCTGAAACATTTATTGTTTGAATTATTTAATATTATAGCCCGAAATTCTTCTAAGGAAATAATATAGTTTGTTAAAAACCTTTTGATTTATTTTAAAATAAACCAAGAAAACCTATATTGAGTACAACTTGGTCAATGTGCCGGACCACTTGGTCTATGTGCCGGACTGTTTGTTCAAAAAGTGCCGGACTACCACCATAAAGTGCTAGACCATCTTTAGTGAGTGAGTGTGGCAAGGATGTGACAACTTCATATACGGACAAGGGTATTTTTGTCCTCCAAAGTATGAGTCTTTGACTTGGGGATCTTTACCACAAAAGTTAGTTTTGGGGTAAAAGTTGCGAGAAAAAAGTAGGTGGGGGAGAATTCAAAAAAAGTTGAGTTATGGGGTTTTTTGTAATTTTCCTTAACATATATCTACTCTCTTGTATTTGAAAAATATTATAATGTTAGCTGATCTATAAGCACCAGGAGTTTGTAGGTCAAGCTCACATTAAAATCGGTCACAATCAGTGGTTGCAAAAGCGAATCGGAATGGTTAACCAGACATGGGCTTGGAAGCAGTTTAACCGGCTGGCCGATTCAATCGTTCTAATCGGGTAAGTCCCGGGCAATGAAAAAAGTGTTGAAAAAATAAAAAAGATAGAAAAAAGAAAACTACTAAAATATGAAAGAATGATTAAAATAAAACACATTCAAATGAAGTTGAAAATTAATAACGAATCAATTTTTGAATTAAAGTGAGTATTAATGACAAAATCAAATTTTAATTTTTACCATAATGTAAAAAATATTAAAAAATGCATTAGAAACCAAATTCCTTATTTTGCGGAATTTATATACATTATTTTGAAATTTTTTTTTTTTAAATACTGATTGATAACCAAAATCGGAACCGGCAACTGGCTGATTCCGCTCTAACCAGGTGGTTAGTAGTTAGATCGTCTTGTTTTTCTAATAATGATCACAATAGAAAAGTCTAACCGGTTAGATTTGATCAAACACTCATTATGACTTGTTAAATTTTTTTTTTAGACCTGACAAAGTTAGTATTCGGTTATCGGACTGGTGCTTCGGTCAGATAATTGTCTAGACAATTATGATTTATAGATTACCATCAATGATTTACCATAATAACAAAAGTTTAAAACTTCAAAAAACCACATATTTTCTCTCCTTGTCAAAATGGGGTCCGTTTATATCTACTCTCTTATATTTGAAAAACAATCTAATGTGAGTTGATCCATAAACCCTTGAAGTTGTAGGTCATACTCACATTAAAATCGGTCATAATAGAACAGTCTTAACTGGCTAGAATTGATTAAATACCGATAATGACTGGTTAAATTTTTGGTTTAGACCTGACCAAACCATCAATCGGTTATAGGCTCTTGACGATTATGATTAGATTGGCATCAATGATTTACCATAGTGCTCCTATAAAATTTAAAACTACAAAAAACCATATATTTTCTCTCCTTATCAAAAGGGGCTCTGTTCTAGCGCATTCTAATCTGAATTGATGATTTGGAAAAAATATTAAAAACAAAAAAATTAAAAAATAGGAATTTATGAAGGCGGATGTAAGGGGCTTAATAAAATATTAAATAAATTTAAAAAAATCATATAAAAATATAAATATGGGATTTTAGAGAGGACCAGCCAATATGAGGACATTCCAGATTTTATTAAATAAACTTAAAAAATCATATAAAAATAGGAATATGGGGTTTTATGGAGGACCAGCCAATACCAGTACATTCCAGACATTGTGACCCAAACTAAAGTAGGATAAAATCCCTGTCAGGATCCGAAGTTCTAAAACATTGTGACCCAAACTAAAGTGTAATAGAATTTTGAAAAGTATATGATGAGACAATTTATTTTTGTTACAATGTAGTCACAATAAATTTTGATCATTGGATGTGAAATTGGGTGGCTGTATTTATTTCATTGATCAAATTCAAAGCTCAAAAGAATCTTCGTGACATATCAAGTTACGAGATAGATTTCACATTGGATGATTGTAAGTAATGACATATCAAGCTACGAGATAGATTTCACATTGGATGATTATAAGTAATTGTGACCTCTCCGTTTCAAAGGTAAGATTTCACATTGGATGATTATAAGTAATTGTGACCTCTCCGTTTCAAAGGTAAGGTAATTAGTCTCGTTGTATACAATCCCCTAAAATTTTCATGTTCGTAGAATAAAGGAACAAAAGAAGCATGCTGCCTGCATTAATCGAACTTTCAAAAAAAATAAAAAAGAGTACAACAATATTATTCGAGGTCTCTACCTTTTACTCGAGCCTCTGGCATAACCACTGTAGTTGCTTGTAGTCTCTCTCTCTCTCACATGTAGTTGTTTGGAGACCGACTCTCATACACACCTCTCTCTCTCTCTTCTCTCTAAGATAGATTTATTGAGGTGGATTCTGGTGTCATAGGTTGGAGAAGGTCATTGTTGCTATACTTCAGAGCTAATCGGTAGAGGGAGTGAGATAGATACAGGAAGTATCAGAGAAGAAGAGATGAGCGGGAGATGGGGAAAGAGGGTTATACACTTTGCAAACCTTCCCATCAAACTTTTGATGCCTTCCTCTCTTCAAAACATCAAAGAGATTGGCATCAAAACCATCCCTTCTGCTTCAAAGGTACTCTTTACACATTTACAACTCTCACTCTCTAATAATTTTCCCCAAAATTCGCAAACTGGATGTCATTTTCAGTCTGGAAATCCTTGATTTTAATGTTCTTTCTCTCACTAACAAGTGGATATCATACGTTCTATTAAGTTTTCCACCTTTGGCATACGCTCTTTTTTTTGTTTTGGAACATTCTTCACCCTCTACTTGTACTTCTCATCTGAAACATGGGTTTAATCTTGATATGCTTCTTCTGCATAAAGTTTGGTTTGGTGCTTAAACACTTTCTTGTAATCGATGAACAAAAAATTGGCCGCCTTGCTGCCTAGGCGGCCTGGTCGAGAAACCACCTAGGCTCTGCCTAAGCTGTGGGGTCTGGGGGGGCATTGCCCAAAGCGGGCGCCTAGCTGGGAAGGCGGGCGGGCAACCTTTCCATAAAAAAGAAGTCTCTATCTCTCTTGGGTCCGTGTGCTCTCTATGAGAAGAATAAGAAGAATGTGGACTCCATGTGTTTGATGCACGGCCTCTCCCACACACACATGCACACACAAAGACACACATGCACACACAAAGACACACATGGACCTATCTTTCAAAGTAAGGAGAAGATGGCCTCGAAGTGTTCGATGCAAGTCCCTACCTCTCACAGACACACTGTCTCTTGACATATCCTCAAAGCGTTCGAGACCTCTCTGTCACAAATATAGATACCAAAAAAAAAGAAAAAATCAAGGATGATTTTAAGAATTTCATGCAAGACCTCACACACATGCGTGCACATGCATGCACACACGCACACTAAATACACACACACATTCACAAAACATATGCACACAAAACATATGGCCCCCACCCCAACCCCTTTATTTAGTTACATAAGCTGCCCGCCTCTGTGTCGCCTCTGCCTTTTTGAACCTTTCTTGTAATGTATAAAATGCTGACATCATACTATTGGAGAGTTTTTTTAATCAAGTGGAGTCCTTTTTTCATTTTATTTGGTAGATTGAGATTAAGAGGGTTTTGGAAGGACTATATGGCTTTGAAGTTTCCAAGGTTACAACCATTAACATGGAAGGCAAGAAAAGGCAAAGGGGTGGAGTAGTGTATGCTAAGCCTGATTACAAGAAGGCCTATGTGACCCTCAAGAACCCTTTATCATTGAGTTCGGATCTTTATCCCATTCGTCTTCTTGAAGATGATAAGAAAAGCACCGCTAAGCAACCGAAATCTGCCATTGTTAGTGAGCAGGAGCAAAAAACACATTGGCTTGACAACAATTCTGAGATAGTGCTTGAACCTAAGAAGCAAAATGATTGGAAAGAAGTTCGTGACAACGAAAAGAGTAAATTTCCATGGAGTGGCATGCGCAATTGGAAGTAGATTTGATACATTTTTTCTCTTATTTTGGATGCATAAGTCAATTGGACTTAAAATGTCTCCTTCAAGAGGAACTTCTTGTCTCCAAATTCAAGTATGCAAACTAACTGATGTTGTACTCTTGATATCTGTTTTGTTACTGAAATTTGGGAAAGGTAGGAAGGATTAGCTATGGAAAAATTTTAAGTGGTTGTTTTTAATATAGTTGAGATGGTTTTTGTCTTGTGCTTCTGTTGCTCATAATTAGTTTCTTGAGAACCTAATCTTGTTGGGTACTTATGAATTGCAAAGAATTGGATCTGTTGCTTTTAAGTTCTCATAATTGGGAACATGTCATATATTCATTCATTATCTAGATTTGTTGATGAGATGGGAGAAGATGAATTAAAACTGTGTTGCCCCCTTTCTTATCTTCTTGATTTTTACTCTTGCTTCTCTCTTCATGCAATTCTCTCCCCCTCTTTACCTCCAACTCCCCACCATAATTACTGAACAATTATCCAATAACCGTGATGGCGTTAAATAATCCAAACAAATGTATTTTATTTTTTCTCAATAATTTTTCTTTTCACAAACGTCCACTTTTAAGATGAACCTTGATAACTAAAGATTCGTATCCAATGGATAGAAAAAAGTTTAAAAGAAAATATTTTTAGATTTATTTTATTTTTCATATTCATGATCATCATAGTGTAGATCATGGATCTTTACAAATTTGCATCGAAGATCTCTATAAGAAATGGGTATTGGAGGGAGCCTGCACATGAGTCATGGGGCTCATAAAAACCGGGTCCATTTAAGCAGGTGGTTCATTTTATGTGAAGACAGAAGAGAGAAAAGGAAGCCCCACATTTCCACATTTAGAAGTGCAGTGAAGACAGGAGAGAAAAGGAAGCCCAACATTTCCACATTTAGAAGTGCATAGATATTGTGATTTTGAAAAGGATTGATGTTTACTGACGTTCCCAAGGAACGGACATGTGAGTTCACTTGAGATACTCATCCGTTCAAACAGCATTGCAATAGCAATTCATGAGAGGTAAAGGAGTTGCTGGTATGTATGTCCTTCCATGATGTGATTCAATCATCTTTGAAATTACCACCTAAAAGTTTTGTAGTTGGTTTTTGGAAACATTTACACGTATATACTTTGAAATTTTTATTATTTAAAATTTCCCCCAAAATTTTACTTTTTAAACTTAGTGAGGGACTCATGCTCTGCATGTGTACGAGTATACGATTTAAATGTTGTATAGATACAAGGCTCAAAACAATCAAAGTAAAGCACACCTTCAAATAGTATTGAGAAATGTTGTTTAATATTGGAAATCTTTGTGATAGCCTTAATATATATTTTTATATTTAATTATAAAATTTAAAGCTTAAAAACTAGTGCAGATCGAGCAGATCTATGAAAACTTAAAAATTGTGATAAAAAGATGGTCCAAAAATGCATTACAAGATGCATTATTTTCAAAACTTGAAATCTATTTTTTTCTCATGTCCATGCATCTTGATGTCAGGATGATCAATTTGAGGATGTTTGGGCTTCAAAACAACTTCTTCTAATGAAAGTTTTGGAGTGTGCTCTAATTTGATTGTTGAGAGCCTTAGCTCAATATAAACTTTTTCCTTCTATTTTTCCATGGTTAAGATATTATCTGTGATGCATTTTTAGATACCATAATAAATGAGAAAAGTTTTAGTAATTTTTGTTGTTAATTCATGAATCTTAACTAAGTTTATTTGGGCTTGGTAAGTTGTGCACGAACATGGACAAATTAATGGCCCAATTTTTCTAAGAAATACTCATCTTGTGATTTTTTTTAAGTGGATCCCAAAATTCTTTAAAATTGGAAAGTGTAGATAATATATTATAATATGTGTATTATTTTTATGACTTGAAATCTTTTTTATTTTATATTGATATATCTCAAGGCCGAGATTATCAATTTGAGGGTTTTCTAGCATTGGAACAACCTTCATGCGTACTGTTTCAAAAAGCGGATCGCTTAACACCTAGGCGGCCGTCGAGGCGGTCCTAGGGGCCTGGGTGCATCACCCAAGCCTAGGAGCCAGAAATAGGCTGAAATCCTTGGGCGCTCAAGAACCTGCCTAGGCAACCGCCCAACACTTAGACCTGGGAGGCCGCCCAGGGACTCCGCCCCGCTTAGAGGCGGAAAACAGTTTCATTATTGGCATTTTTTGTCCTTTTTTTTATACTAAAGAGCTAAATTTCTTGTTTTTAGGTTTATTGTAACGTAAAAGATATTAGAGACCATTTTAGAGAGAAAAACAACAAAAAAAATCAAGTTTTGGCAATTTTTTTAGAATTGAAGGGTTTTTCAAAGTTGCAAGAAATTGATCAAAACATCACTCATTGATATTAGATTTAATTTGTGATGTTTTATAAATCTATTGCATGGTTTTTTAGAAGATTTTGAGTTTTTAGAAACATATTTGAGGTGGAAGTTTGGAGATTGAGCAATCAAAGTAAGTGATTTTTTTTTTATTCTCGTATAAGTTGTATTATTTCGAGATGTCTTCTTTGAGATAAGATATGAGTAGTGATCTCGGTTAGAAATATAGTCACAACTTAGATCCTAATGATAAAAATTACGTACGATGCAAGTTTTGTGAGAATGATACAAAAATGGGCATAAACCAGTTCAAAAAACATCTTGTCGATATCAGGAGGGATGTTGCCCCATGTAAAAAGACGCCTGATGTTGTTAAAGAGGAAATTACCAAATTTTTTAGTATGGTAAAAATGAAAAAAGAAATTTACCTCCACAGTAGAGATTAGGTATGGGGTTTGGGTTAGTTATGACGATAATGATAGTGATGAGGATGGGGAGGGATGTCAAGAGGTAGAACAATCCATTATTATAGGGAAGGGTAAGGGAGTTGTAATTTCTTCTGGTTTTGGGAGTAAGAAGCCTTGGGTTAGAGGCCCTATGGATAGTTTTTTGCACCGGCTTAACCATGAGGTTGCAGGAGAGAAAATAAGGAAGCAAACCACTACTGAAAATAAAATGAAAAAGGAAGAGAGAGATATAGCTATATTTTTTTTAATTGCTACATGGTTTTATGAGGCAATCATTCCTTTCAATGCGGCTCGCCTAAGCAGCTTCTATGCTTTGGTAGAGGCAATTGGCCAATTTGGGTCTGGGATGAAACCCCCAACCTCATATGAACTTTCAGAGCCTCTTTTAAAAAAAACAGTGTGTGTCACAAAGGATGCTGTAGAAGTTAAAAAGGATGCATGGGCTCAATATGGAGTTTCTATTATGACTGACGCTTGGAGTAATAGGAAGAGAAGAAGTAAGATGAATTTGCATGTGAATCATCCTTTAGAGAATTTTTTTTGAGGTCTATTGATGCATCTGATTATACCCATGATGCCCATTACATACTCCAAGTTATAGAGAAGGAAATCAAAGAGGTGGGGATTATCTTGTTGTACAGATTGTCACAGACAATGCTGCTCCTAATGTTGCTGCTACTAATTTGTTCCGCATAGCTTATCCTAGAATCTTTTGGACGCCATGTGCAACACATTATATAGACTTCATGCTCGAGGCTCTTGGTAGTTTAACCGAGATATCAGGTGTAGTGAAGAAGGCAAAGTCAATTACAAATTTCATTTATAGCTACCATCTCACCCTCATCATGATGCATAGATTTACAAAGAAGAAAGAGATTGCGAGGTTTGGGGTTACGAGATTTGCGACTTGGTACTTATGCCTAGATAACATACATTCGAGGAGAGTGCAATTGATACAGATGTTTACCTCGGATGACTGGAGAGCATGCAAGTGGTCCAATGATCAGGCTTTTTGACATTATTCTTTCTAAGGCTCTTAAGGTATTTTTTCTTTTTGTCAAAGTCCTTTGCATGGTTGATATTAACAATGCTTTTATGGACTACGTATATGAGGCTATGGATAAATGCAAGAGAAAGATATCCCAAAATTTTGATGTTGATGAGAACCGCTATAAGCCTGTTTGGGAGATTATTGATGAGATGTGGGATAGACTGCTACATCGATCATGGCATGCAACTGGTTATTATTTTATCCCAACTTTTTTTATATTGACAAGGATATACACACAAATAACATAATTATGACTGGAATTAATAAGTGTGTAGATGTGCTAGTCCCTGATCTGGATATCCAGGATATTATATGTGCTGATGAGCTGATAAATTACAAGTGCTCATTAAAGTCTTTTGGGAATCCAATGGCAATGAGGAAAATGATTGAAATTGATCCAGGTAATAATAATATTCTTAAGACCATCAAGTTCAAGACTTCAAGTAATCAATTTTCATTTTTATAATTATTTATGATTTTATTCTATATCTTTGCAGCTAATTGGTGAAGCCAACATGAGTGTAGTTCTCCAAATTTACAAAAGTTTGTTATTCAGATATTAAACCTAACCACTTCCTCATCCAATTGTTAGCACAATTGGAGTGCTTTTGAAGGGGTAAGAGTAATTTGTATAATTTATTAGTAATTTAATACTTTAGTAGATAGTTAATTAGTTATTAGTTTTGATTGTTTTGTAGTATTACTATTATATATTTAATAAATTTAATTATTGAATATTTATATTAATTAGTTTTATTAGGTTTTATTAGATTCATACAAAGAAAATGAACATGTTTGAATCAAAGAGGCTTAATGACCTAGTCTATGTCAAGTATAATCAATTCTTGAAGTACAGATTTGCTAAGACAGACCCTTTAGATAAAAAAATATGGACATTGCTATGAAGTGGTTGGTTGATGATGATGAGGTCGAGGGGCATGAAGGATTGACATGGGACATGATCATGGATGCTTCAGGGACATCAGCCGACCATCCTAGAGTCACTAGATCTTTTACACAGAGGACGAGGGGAGATGAAGAAGAGGTAGATTCAGAAGAGATGGAGGAGGAGGACCAATATGGCGAGGAGGGTGACGACTTCGATGCATATTATGCAAATGTAGCTGACCCTACTTTTTCTGATGATGAATGATGAATGATTAAATTTTGAACATTGATTGAAGATTCTTTTGAGTCTTCAAGTATTACTTTCATTTTTGTTTTCTTCCTCTTGGTTGTCTTGTAGATGGTGGATTTGTAGTGTCACTGGTTTGGTACTTGGTAACTTTGGTTTGGAAACTTGGTTGCTAAATTTTAAGTTTTAATTGGATATGGTTGCTAAATTTTAA